TCCCCGCGGACCCCCCATCATGTCGGCGGGAGCGGGCGCGGGCGCGGGCGTGGAGGCAGGCTTCTCCAGCGAGGAGCTGCTGTCGCTCCGCTTCCCGCTGCACCGCGCCTGCCGCGACGGGGACCTGGTCGCGCTCTGCTCGCTGCTGCCGCACACGCCGCGCGCTCACCTGGCCGCCGAGGACTCCTTCTACGGCTGGACGCCCGTGCACTGGGCCGCGCACTTCGGAAAGGTGGGCGCGGGCACTTTAAGGCGCCATTTTCCGCGTGGTTCCTCCCCGGGGGTCAGAGTGCACCCCACCCCGCCGTCCCCGGAGCGCGCGGCGAAAGCTCGGTCGGCCGCGCCAGCGCCCCCCCCCCCACTTTCCCCCGGGCCCTCCCCCAGGGTCCCAGGGCGCATGTGCGGTCTGAGGCCTAAGGGGTGGGGGCGCGGGCCCGACCGGAGCCCCCGAGGGGTCCACGGCGCATGTGCGGCGCCGCGCGCGCGCGCCCTCCCCAGGACCTGGGGGGGGGCGCGGGGATTGCTGGGAGGAAGTGGGGTCGGCCTGGCCGGCGCCCCGAGGGGCCCAAGGCGCATGTGCAGCACTTCTGTCTGCGGGGAGAGGGAGAGGGGCGGCGGGGGGCGGGGATGTAGGCCGCGGTTGGGGCGATTTGCGCCGAGTCCGCCCCCTCTCCCGGGAATGGTGTAGAAGGTCCCTGCTCCCGGGGAGGGGAACGGGGAGCCGCGCGGTCCGGTGCAATGGAAACCCGGCGGAGACGGGGAGGGAGGGACGGGCGCTGCACCTGATGTGGCCGCAGGCGGGGTCGCGCGCCCCGGCCCACCGGGGCCCCCTCCTCCCCCGACTGGGGCCGCCCCGTGTTGAGCCTGGCTGTTGGTTCCGTCCTCCCCGGGCGTGGACGGATGGCGGACAGTGGTGAGCGGGCCTCCGTGCAGGGAGGGGGTCGCCGGGAAGCCACCGTCTCTCGGCGCCTCCCCAGTTCCCCGCGGACAGACTTCGCCTCGTACTGTTTTGCCCCAATGTGAGATAAAGCTGAAAGAGCCTTTTTTCGCTTCTTCGGAGGCCGAGTTGTAGACTTGGCTTTGGACCAAAGACCGGTGATGTAGCTGAGGCGAGGACTCTGTTTTTGAGCTGTCTTATGAACCTGGGTAGTCTTAAGATGGGGAACCATCTTGGAAACCCGTTCTGACTGGTAGGGAAAGCTCTTAGATGGCAAAGGCAGCGCCTCTTTCCCCCAGCCTGGCCATCTGTTGTTGCTCCCCCCTTTCTGTAGGGTTCCAGCGTGTTTTCCTCAAGATGTACCAGTGATGCTGAAGTTACCCAGTCGTGTATGAGGGTTATTTATTCCCGGGAGATTGGTCATTATTAAGGCTAATTATACCTTGCTTTTACAAAATGCCCCCACTTAAAAGTACTCTGCATAAGTCCAAACCCAGTTTCCTGGGTTGAACATGGCCTAGCTAACAGGTTCATGTCCTGGGGACTCTCCATGGTAAAGGTTAATTAAAAGCTTTCCATCTGACACCTATTCATCTCACCACTGGTTTGTACTTTTATTTTCCCCTTGGGAAATTAAAGGAACTCTTCACCAGCCATTGCTTTCGACCTCTAACACTGTTTTGTTTAAATCTGTTCACTGCCTGCTGTGCAAGTTTTGTAGCCTGCCAGTCAGTAAAAACTCAGTTTATATTGAGGTGATCTTTATGAGGACAAGCTTAAACTGCTCAGAGAGACAGATAAGGAGACTCGGCGGCTGTTTGTTCTTGGAATTGCTTGCAACCGGGCACAGTTTCTTCACTGCCTTGTAGTCAGTTGAGGAGAAACGGGCAGTTCAAAATTGGAGAACAAGTAAAGTAAGTTCCAGAAATTTTCTGGCCACATAGTAGGCACTTGGTGCACATGTTGACCTGTGATGGACTCGTAACCAGCAGCCAGCACAGCAGGACCTGGCTATATCTTGTCTCTGCTTGCCAGTCTTTCAGTCAGTCACCTGCTGGGTGAGCTCAGCTGTGCTGTGACCTTTTTTTCCCCCATAGTTTTCTTTCTGTTCAGTTTTTAAAGACTGAGCGAGTGGAGAGGAATGAGCTTTGAGGACGTTCAGTGTAGACAGGTTGGTGCACACTATGAAAGAGTCTTTGACTAGGAAGAGTTCACAGTACTTAGACATTTTTTGTAGCCTGCCAATCATTAACAATTTTATCATGTGTGTGAAAGTCTTGATTAGAAGTTTTAGAATAATGCACTCTTGGTGTAAATGTTTTGAAATCTTTTCATAGCGTTGGGAAGAGATTAAATTATTGTTAGAAGAAGAAAAAATGGTAACAGAAATGCCACTGGTGACCACTGTGGACTTGAGATTGTGTTGGTGTACTGACATGACCTGTTTTTGTCTTTCTGCCTGTTTGAAGCTGGAGTGCTTAATCCAGTTGGTAAGAGCAGGCGCCTCCCTGAATGTCTCCACCACCCGCTATGCCCAGACCCCAGCCCACATTGCTGCTTTTGGAGGACATCCTCAGTGTCTGGTCTGGCTGATTCAAGCTGGGGCCAACATTAACAAACCGGTAAGAAGGCCTGATTGATGCTGCCTTTGTTTGTGTTTCCAGTTACAGTTATTCACATGATACTGTTTTAAACTGAGTCCTTAATTAGAGTTTGATGTCTTTACCTGAGGCCAACTGGAATCTGTTCCTTCAGTTACTTGTGGATAATAAGCCCTTTCCTCCTGAGGCATGCGTTCGGTTTGTAGAGTGCTTTTACCTATGTGACTCACCCAGATCTGATTCAGTGATTTGCCCAAGGTCACAGCTGATAATTGAAGGCTGTTGGCCCACAGCCCAGATTTCCTGGCTCCTGCTCCCTGCTGCCTTAACCTCATAGATACTGTAGAAACACATCCAGACCAGCAGAAGGATGGCTTTTATTGGCCTCGGAGTGGGTTTGCCCTTCAGACACCGGTTGAGGGTGGTGACTGGGTGTAGGACCGTCACTCTGTCATTTACTTAGTGGGAAGAAGTTTGTGTTGAAGTGTACAGACTAGAGGATAGATGAGCCAGATTTTTTTATGGTGGATTTTTTATGGATGTTTATATTATTAGCCTATAGTAGAGAAGCATACAGTAGATGGTTTGAAATGGAGCAGACAGAACTTACTGCCCAGCTCAGAGGGTGGATTACATGCTGGCAGCTCTGGTAGCTATGATGTCTGCCTTTTCCCCCATTTCATTTTCTTTTCTTTTTTTTTTCTTTTTTCTTTTTTTCTGTATTTTCCAGACAAGGTTTCTATGTGTCGCTTTGCACCTTTCCTGGAACTCACACTGTAGCCCAGGCTGGCCTTGAACTCACAGAGATCCGCCTGCCTCTGCCTCCCGAGTGCTGGGATTAAAGGCGTGCGCCACCACCGCCGCCCGCCCCCCTTTCATTTTCTATATACTTTTCTTTTTTAAAAAAAATTATATGTGGGTATGTGCACCTGTTTGCTGAGACCAGTGTTGGATCCTCTTAGAGCTAGAGTTAGAGGTGGTTGTAAGCCACCTGATAAGGGTGCTGGGAATGGGCCTTGGGTCCTCTGGGTGAGCAGTACATGCTCTTAACTGACAAGTCATCTTTCCAGTCCCTTACATATTGCCTTGCTCTCATCAGCATCCTGAGCTGCTCCTTCCTGCTTCTTTCTCTCCTAAGGTTTGTTCCTCGGTTATGACAGTTGTAAAACAGTTGTGGGTCCTTCCTGAGGATAGGTTAGCTACCCACGGAAAATGGCAAGGGTTTTTGGCCATGGGTGGGAACGAGGACTGTAGGAAAGGGGTACAAGTGGATCGTGCAGGTTTTTTCTCCTTGAGACTTAGAGTAAAAAGGCAGTGTAAGGAGAGGCCCCTTTTTGTCGCTGAGACTTGACTAGAGACAGCTTTAGATCCTTACATATTTCCTTTTCTTCTTTCACATGGATTTTTTCTTTTGCACCCTCACCTTGCAGGGCAGAGACATGTCTGTCCATCTGCCTGACACCCATACTGTTGCCTCCTGGTCTCAATCCTGCCTGTGGATTTGAGTCTGGGTTCTGCTGTTTTTCAGTCTGGCTTTGGACAAGTCACTTACTTATTAGACTGTGGTTCCAGTACCACCGATAAAATATGAGTAATAAGTTTGTGAATAGAAATAGTTCATATTTGCTGTTAATATGGACTTTAAGTGTAGAATTTTCTATATGTTTACCTTAAGTAGTTAACAAAGTGTGTAACTTAGAGAGGTATAAAGAAATTGGTACCTTTGGGGGAGGGCTTTTTAAAAGCTAGATGCTCCTTTTGACTAGCATTTCATTTTAGATGCTGAGAGTACAGGCTCACAGGTGTGCCTGTGTCCCCACTGTTCTGTGGGGTGCCTCTAGATAGCACCTCACATCCTGGCTTCCCCGCAGGTCTTCCTAGCCTTGCTTGTAGCCTCCCTTGGGCACTTCTGAAATGTAAATAGAGACCGGGGTACCATTGAGAAGTGTGGTTTCTTGTTACAGATTGCTTCAGCATCCACCTCTCCTTTAGAGATGTAGACCACAAAACAAGGGCGAAGTAGTCCTGCCTGTTCTCTGACCTCTGTTAGTATCCCTCCATCTTTTGGGGAAATTTTTTTTCCTGTTCCAAAATTAACTGTATGATTTTTTTTTCTTTTGAACATATTTTGCAAAACCGTTCCTGCAGAGTGTGTCTGTCTGTGTGCGTGATATTTGTATGTGCTCATGTGGGTATGTGCAGGTGGGTGCGTGGATATGCATGTGTATGTGGGGGCTGGAGGTCATGAGTGTTTTCCACAGTTGCTCTCCATCTGTTTAAGATGGTTTCTCACTGAACCTGACGCTCCATCAGTTTGACTAGGTTAGCTGCGGTGAGCTTCAAAGACCTTCTAGTCTGTCTGTGGTTCCGGGGTTGCAGACACACACCACCATGCCTGGCTTTCATAGGGGACTGGGGATCCGAACTCAGGTCCTCTTGCTTGCACGGCAGGTACTTCACAGACAGAACCATCTTCCCAGCCAATTTTTGTGTGGCTTTTGTTTCCTCTGCCCTTATTCTTCTTTAAAAAGGTCGTCTGGTGGACATGGTGGCACACACCTTTAACCCTAGTGTTGGGGAGGCAGAGAGAGGTGGATCTGTGAGTTCAAGGCCCTCCAGTCTATGTAGCAGGTTCCAGTGCAGCCAGAGTTGCACAGTCGAGAGACCCTGTCTCCAGTAAAGGGGGAAAAAAGTAGTCTGCTTTTCTAAACATCTGAGTTCACTGTATAGTTCTTGGATAGTCACATGACTT